ATCTTCAAATATTAAATATATTTATTTAATTGTAAGTTAATATGTAAAATTTTGTATAATTATATTTTAATTTAAATGTATCAAGTTGGTGTATCATGCTTAATGAGATGACTAATAATTATAATTTACTATTGTTAGGCAAATTTTAATAAAAAAAAATTAAATTGAACAACTGCTTGATACATACTAAGCTATACCAATTTATTTCTTTATTATTTTTATAGCCATTAATTACAACATTTGAAAACATAGAACTTCTATAAAAACTAGCAATAGCACAAATTATGTCTGTACTTTCTAATAAAGCTAAAAAAAATACTTATATATAATTAAAATCGTTAAGAAATAAAATTAGTTTATCTTTAAAAAATTTATCAAGACTGATTAAAAGGTTTTGAAACCTCTTAATTTGTAATAGGTCCAGATTATTTTTGTTGTTTTTAAAAAAATTATCTAACTTATTTAAATATAAAGTCTATATAGGGTTTCCAAATCTTTTTATTTAATGATATTTCTTTTTAGCTTTTTTATAATTAATTTTTGCTATATAACTTAATATAATGATTATTTATAATTAAAATTATATTTTAATCAAATAATATATTGTAATCAGAGTTGGCATGAACCAGTCAATAGTCAAGCTTGACCAAACCAGTTTAACCAATTTGATCAGTTGGTTAAAGAGTTTAGTATTAGTCAAATTGGTTAAATAATATATAAAGTATATAAATATATTTGTTTATTTATTTGTATATTAAAATTATTTATTAATAGGCTAGACTATTTGACCAATTTTACTAAACCATTTAACCAATTTGACTAGACCAGTTTAACTAACAAATTTTTGGTTAACTAGTAATTTGACCAACTCTGATTGTAATATATAGCAAAATAATAACTTAATTACTAGATAATATATATATTTAAATATATTTACTAGTGAATATGTTTAAATACATATATTATCTAGTAATTAAGTTATTATTTTGCCATATATTACAATATATTATTTGGTTAAAATATAATTTAACTAGTGCATAGTAATAAATAATGATTAGTTACTATATTTATAAAAATACTGTTCTTAATATTTGTTTCATATAGTTTTTTTTGTTTAACAGTAATAAGGTCTTTTTATATAATTTGTATGAAAAGTTTTGTAAGTTTCTGTAGTTAGACTATTTATTAATTTATATTTTTAAATTGCAGATATCATATAATAGCACCAAGCATAAAGTTTAGATAATTAAAGACTGCTTTGAGAATATTTTAAAAATATTTTAACAAAATCTTTTGCTCAATTCATAATGAAAGTTTACAAAATTAATCATTAGTAATTAGAATTTATTAAAAAAATGTCTTTCATTTTATACCTAAAGCAGATTATATGAATTATAAGTAAATAATTTTTTATAACTAGCAATATATATTTAAAAAAATTTGAAATAAACTTGTCATAGTCATTTATTATTAATTCCTGATTTTCTATAACTCTCATATAGGTTATTAAAAGTAAAAATTATTATTTTCATTATATTTTACAATTTATTAGCCATTATGTAAGTTATATTTGATATGTTTTTTATTATTTTAAGGCCATAATATTAAGAAATCATAGATAATTATTATTTAAAGATTAGAAGTATTTGGCTCTTACATTGCTTATATAAAAGTTCTTTAATAAATTCTAATATGTATTTAAAAAGACCAAGATCCAAGATATGCATTCGATTAAGTACAATGGCATTATATATATTAAAGTTTTTAAAGTTTGTTATTTATAACAATATATATTATTTATACAGTAAATATAACAATAATAAAAAAGTGTAATAACCTAGTGAAGTGGTCAGGTTGTTAACTTTTCAAGTGATAGGTTGGGTATTAAAATTTTATTGACAATAAAAATTTGAATAATTACTTATATAATATTCATATTATAACAACTGTTACTAATAATTAGATTAGGATATCTGTAATGATAATCATATTAGCATAACTGGCAAGTCATAAAGCATCTGTGCAATGTTGGAGTTATACAAAAAAATGCAAACTAACAAATCAGATGGTGCAAACATTAGATAAGTCCTTGTGGCTATATAAATCTGTTGAAATTAGATAACAAGAAGTCTATTTGAAAAGATCTAAATAGAGAAGTAGCTGAATTTTTGATAGCACTACTGTAAAGGCTAGCTTAAGAAAATAAATATCTAGGTCTTAGAAACCAGAAAGGCAAGAATCTTTAGGTTAAGAATCTCAGAGATACTACCAACCAAACTACTAGAACAAATCAGAGAAAAAGGATATTGGACTGATCTAATATACTAATAGACTGGTTATAGTTCTATATAGACTATCTGAATTAAGAGCTTAATGAAATTCAGAGATATACTAAAGTACTAAAGTTATACTGTAAAGTAGATGCTGAAGTCTAAATGAACTCTACAAAAGCATAGCAGTTTAATAATTAAGTCCTGATCACAAGTGTTAGTTTTACTATAATGATATCTAGATTAGTTGTAAAAATAGATATAGAAGGCTCTAGGAGGTTTGTCTTAAAAATAAATTAATCCTAAAGTTGAGATAATGATCTGGGCATCTAGGTATAACCCAGTAAGTTAATACAGATTACATGTTTAGAGTGTTTAAAGTAAAACATTCAAACAGAGGTATTAGATATAACAATTAGTAAGGAACTTTCAGATAAATTCCTTAAATAGGTAATATAGAAAAGTTATATGTGAAGTCAATTGTATGCTCTCTTGTAATAGTTTATTAAACCACAATACTGATAAATAATTAATAAAAGTCAAAAGACCAAAGAGATTAACTTAATATCAAAAAATATATATATATGTTGTACCCTGGATAGGAATCGTCCCGATTCGGAATCCGGCCGTCCCAATTCAGAATCGGAGTAGCTGGTTTTGAAATTCTTAAGCGGGTTACCTGGATTGAGAATTAGAACTTAACTGAACACATCACGTGAGATATAATCAGGTCAAATTTCAATTATGTAATATTTACATATTACCAATAGAATTTTTTAACTATTGATACTTTTACTAGAGCCTTTATTTTATTAATTGAACATTGCTACTCGTATTTATTATGTTATTCAAATCTGTATTGATTAATTTGACATATTCATAAACTCTAAACTAATATATATTCTCATCCAATTCAAGTTCACTAGTAATTGAGCTTCATGTGCCTTTTCAAAGTAACAGTCACAATTCTTTAGTTAGCATTAGTGAAACGTTACAATATTAAAAATGCAGCAGAACGTATAAACATAAATTAATTACCCAGTGATTGTACATATTTTCTTCTAATTAATTAAAGTTCTCTGGTTTTGATCTTTGTGGTTTTTAATTAATTAAACTTCATATTTGAGAAAGTATAATAGATCATATTGACATAAATTAATTACGCGAATAATCAATTCAAGCTGACTGATCATACAATTACTGTAAGCTATAAATTTAATAATTAAATAAATATGAAAATATATTAGTTTAAAAATCAAGTGCAGATAAAAAAAAAAAAAAGATAACTTATCTTCAGATTTCGATTTTGATAACTTAGAAAATTGCATAATTTTTTTTATGATCCTTAATTGTGCATATTTGGGACGATAATTTTATCAATTAAAAATATCAAATACTTTTGATAATTAAGTAATGAAGTACATGTAGAGAAACTTGGAGCCTTTGCAATAGAAAAAGCAATATGTGATAATAATTGTTATAAACCGATTATACATAGCATTTTATGCTAGTATATAATATGGATTTTGCAAATACAAATTTGAAAAAACAAAAAAATTGAATTATTATTTGACCCTTCAGTTTTCAAGCCTTGTGCTTGCATTTCAAACTTTTTGGATGGCACCCACTCCCATATAAAATATTCACCTTTCTGCAAGAACATCTGGTTGTAAGACAGTCACCTCTGCAATTACATGTTTTATTGCCGGCAATAGCATTGGATTGTAATCTTGCAGCTTCGATTATACTAACAGTCGTATTGGTTGGAGAATCATCAAGCTCTGAAAATTCTCTTGGTCCGAGGAGTAAAACTTCACTGGCTAGAAATGTACTTTCAAGAACACCAAATCGGCATACAAGGCGATATACATCATTGGGAAGTACAGAAAACACTTTACATGGTAGTGCACAACGATCACCAGGTCCACGGTCGATCTTAGCGATTTGTACTTTAACAAGATCACCAACTTTATAACTACGCTCATGAATGTTGTATTTGGTACACATTTGATGCTCCATTTTGAAATGATAATCTTCAAGATTTCTATTCACAGCTTGTCAATAGATATTGTGCTGGTGAATTGGATTATTTGATGAATCTTGAAGAATTTGAAGACAATGTTTTTTGTTTGACATAAAATTATACGAATTAAGTCCATCATTTTCCTATTAATAAATCAAAATGCTAAAATTAATAAAATGGACTTCACAATGATTACTGTAAAAAAATAATATAATTATAATGACCTTGTCTCTCAGGATTGGTTCTTGATTATCTGTGATGTTACTATTACTGTCAAATCATGTTTGTTGACCATTAAAGATGGATTGTTGCATTATTTTGTGACTACCCTCTTTGTTTACATTTCTTACTTCACTTTCAGGATCAGACAACTCATTTTCTAAATTAAAATATGTTGTTAAAATTTAAAATTGTTGAAAAAAAAAATTTTTAACTTATACTTTACCTCTATTAATAACATTATCCGTATTCAAATGTACAGGACCACAACTACCTCGCTGAAGAACTAAATTTTGCCCATCATTATTCATAAAATTAATATCACTATCACACAAAATACCTTTATCATCTATATCTATTATCTCTGGAAATACAGAGTTATTACTAAATTGTTAAGTTGAAATTTGCTTGTTATTATCAAAATGATCAGTATGATACATATCATCACTGCTATCAACATCTTCAATATCACTCTCATTTTCAACAATGTTTTCTAGTAAGTCTTCCTCCATGTTGATATTGTGTTGCCTCCATTCTTTGACTATATTGAAATGTCATAATAGATGTTGACCAAAAACTAATTCATATGGAGTATACTTAGTAGGCCTGGAATGACGAATGTTCATAGCATATGTAACTATGGGAAGACCGATGCTCCAATCTCTTTGCTGGTTATCCTCCATCCATGTAGAAAGTGCATTTTTTAAAGTCTTGTTAGCATTTTCGACTAGTCCTTGTGATTGGAGGTGGCGAGGACACCTATTAATTATGTGAACTCCTTTCCATAAACTAACAAGTTCATAAATAACCTGAGCTGTAAATTCACGCCCATTATCGCTTTGCAAAATACAAGGAGATCCAAAAACAGTAAAAACTAAAAATAAGAATGCAGAAACTTTTGAAGCCTCCTTAGTGCATAATAGACATGTCCAGGAAAACCAGAAAAAGTGATCCCGAAGATGTGCAATATAACAGTACTCTTTATCCAGATATTTTTCAAAGGAAACCAGATCAATCTGAACCTGTTGTAAAAATTTCTTTGAAATAATGGTTTTTCCAATTATGGGTGCAGGAAAGTTTCTACGTGTGCAACATTGTGTACACCGTGCAACATACAACTCCACGAATGATCTAAAAACATACGCATATTGTCTGCTTACTGCCTTATAAGTTTTTTTTGAACCAGAATGCTGCTATGAACTACCATGCATCTTATCAAGAACATTGTAAAGATTCTGAAATGGGCAAATGACGTGGTCTGTTCTTTCTTTTGCATTTTTTATTTCCATGAGCTGAATAATAGAGTTGTGAGATGTTCCAAGATTACGTAGATAAAAATTATTTTTTGCCCAAAAACGATCCTTTGCAGTTCCATTAGACATGTCTTTGAGATTTTTTATGATACTTATAATTAAATCATAGTCTTTCTAGGTAATTATTGCTTTCCTTTGTTGCTTGGGTTTACGACTTGACAAAAATTCAGACACCAGTTGATCAAAGGCAGCACACGAAATAAAAGGTAAATCACTGTTTGTATCCATAATATTGATTATTTGTTGAGGTTTTTAATAAAACTAAGCTACTAAAGTTTCAATTTCTTAGGATCTCATAACAGCGGGTAAAGTTTTTTTTTTTAATTACTAAGCACAATTTATTAAAAGTTTTTTTTTTTAAATTCACTTTTTTTTTTTTAATTACTAAGCGCAATTTATTAAATAAACGATTTATTATTTTATGCATCGGGAATTAAATTTTAACAAACAAATTATTTATTTTACTTTCCAATCTGAAACACAATAAGCGAACATATGCTTGATCTAACAGAAGAAACTGTCCAAATATAAATATGATTTTCATTCTCCATTACACAGATCACTCATTGTATCGACCAGTCAAACCATGGGATTCAAGGGGATTTAAAAAATATGTTGTAAAGCAAAGTGAGAGCTTCATGTTTGTTTAACTATTTTCAATATTCATAGAAAAGATAAGTCAAGCGAGCCTTTCAAAAAAGTATTGTAAAATAATATAAAAAAAAATTTTATCAATTGTGTAACGATTTTGTGACATATCAACAGTTCCTCCTGTTGCTTGATCTATTTTACGGAATAGTAAACTATAATAAATCAACGGATATTGATCATCATTATACAGATTCTTAATCTGGGTAACCTGCTTAAGAATTCCAAAACCGGCTACCCTGATTCTGAATTGGGACGGCCGGATTCCGAATCGGGATGATTCCTATCCAGGGTACAACATATATAATGCAATAAACTAAAATTTATATCTTATTTCCCAAAATGCATTTTTTTTAAAATATATTGAATAACAATAATTATTATTACTATTTATTGCTTGCTTTATAGTTGTTGAAGTTTTTGAAATTATGTTTGTTAAATTAGTATTATTCAAGTTATTATTTAATACTAAGCATTTTCTACATAGTTGTCTTGCAGAAGATGATTAATACATGTTGGCAAACTTATTGGCTTCAAGCATATCAAAAATAATAAATAATATTTATAGAATAAAGGTTATTATATTTCTATATATAATGAAGTAAAGCTTTAGCTCATTAACAATAGGCTTAAGAAGAATCAACATACATTTGTGAAAGAGTTCTTGTTGCATTTTTTAGAAATCTTTAGAATCTCTCATTTTACTATCTTTGGCTTTCATAATTAGAAAGAATCTGACTAATGCTTTGGATTCTAGTTTATTTCTTTGATAATTTGAAATATTGTTAAGTGATAAAAATATAGAATGTTCAGAAAATTTACTTAAATGGTTCAGAGTTGTTATATTAGAGTAAAGAATAAGTAATAATAATTGTTGCCCAACAAGTAATGTTGATTCTTCTTACTTCTACTAATTACTATTGTATTGTTTTTCAAAAATTTAATGCTTTATATTATTATTTACTTCTTTTTTATCATTATATTGAAGAACTAATAACTAATTAATACTATCAATTATTAATAAAAACTTAATAGTCTTAATTAATGATTAATAGTAGAATATATATTTTACATCTTAAAATGTTGATATAAAAATTCTTTAAATATTATATAAGAAATAGTAGTATTATCAAGAAATTTCTTTTTAGCCTTTGTTGATAATAGAAGTACAAAATATTCAAATTTGAAATTTTGTTAAAGAGCTTTATAATAACATTATCTACTAAATTTGAAAATTGATATATATTAATTAATTTCATAGATATATAATATACATCATTCTCTACCTGCTGAATTTGAATGTTAATATATATTAATTATTTTTATAAATTTATGATATGCATTATTAGGCTATTCAATAATTTGTAAATGATGCAAGTCATTAAAAGCATTATCAAATAAAGCCTCTTCATAGTCATCAAAGTTATTTTCTAAAACTTCAAATAAAACATCATTCATTAGGACATCTATATAGTTACTTTTATTGAACATGTTTTGAAGTATTTTATCTTCTATGAAAAGAGACATATTATTTGTTAAAAATGGTTCTGTTTCTATAAAAAAAAAGTTGTTTAAACTTGATTTAGATCAAAATATAATAAAATATTTTCACTTTAAACAAAAACAATCATTATATATTGATTATATCTAAATTAGTAATCTAATTACATATTTCAAAATCTGTAAAAAAATCATAATAACTAGAGCTATATTCTAGAATATTCCAAACATCATTCAACTGCTTTTTTAAAAAAGTTTGACTTGTAAAAACTTGATTATAATGATGTTTTTGTGAGACATGTTGTAATAACTTTGAAAATTTTCATTTACAATATTTATACTTCTAATGCATTTTGATAAAAATAAAGAAAATAAAAAAAGATATTAGTAGAAAGTGATAAAGTAAAAACAATGTATTAAGAGAAAGTTCAATATATATTATAGTAATATAAAGAAGTTTAAAGAAAATAAATATAACTAATAAATAA